ACCTATTTCTCCCGATATCCTGCCCTTTCCCCTCTGGCAATCACAAGTTTGCTCTCTGTATGTGTAAGTCTGTTTCCATTTTGTTTTGTTTTTTAGATTCCATATATAAGTGAGCTCATACAGTACTTGTCTTTCTTTGTCTGACTTATTTCACTTAGCAAACCATCAACAAAATGAAAAGACAACCTACCAAATGGAAGCAAATAGTTGCAAATGATATTTCTGATAAGGGGTTAATATCCAAATTATAAAGAAATCACACAACTCAATATTAAAAAATCCAAATAGAATATGGGAAGAGAACCCGAACAGACATTTCTCCAAAGAAGACACAATGATGGCCAACAGACACATGAAAAGATGCTCAACATCACTAACAGGGAAATGCAAATTGAAACCACATTGAGATATTACCTGACACCTGTTAGAATGGCTATTATCAAAAAGGCAAGAAGTAAGGTGTTGGCGAGGATGTGGAGAAAAGGGGATCTTCATGTACTGTTGGTGGGAATGTAAATTGGTGCAGCCACTATGGAAAATATATGGAGTTTCCTCAAAAAATTAAAAACAGAACTACCACACGATCCAGCAATTCCACTCCTGAGTATTTACCTGAAGAAAACAAAAACATTAATTTGAAAAGATATATGCAACCCTATGTTCACTGAAGCATTATTTACAAGAACTATGATGTGGAAGCAACTGACATGTCCATTAATAGACCGACCAATGGATAAAGAAGACACACACACACACACACACGCACACACACACAGAGTATTACTCAGCCATAAAAAGAAAGAAATTGTGCCATCTGTGACAACATGGATGGACCTAGATGGCATTATGATAAGTGAAATTAAGTCAAATAGAGAAAAACAAATTTATAGTGTGTTTTAAAACCCAAATGCATAAAACAGTAATTATAAATCTGTTAATAGACATGATGTATAAAATCTAATTTGTGACAATAACAACATAAAGAGGGAAATGGAGGTGTAAATTGGGCAGTTTTGTATACTTTTGAAACTAGGTTGATATTAATTCAAACTTGGGTATAATATACTTAAGATATTAATTATATAAAAAATATTATGATCTACAGAGTAGCCACCAAGAAAGAAAGAAGTGAATCAAAATGGTACACTAGAGAAAGTGCCAAATTGTTTTGTATGTTGGCTGTACCTTTTTACATTTCCACCATCAATGTACAAGGATTCCAATTTTTCTACATCCTTGCCAACACTTGCTATTATGTTTTTAAGGAATTATTGCCATCTAGTGGTGTGAAGTGGTATCACTGTGGTTTTGATTTGCATTTCTCTAAAGACCAAAGATGTTGAACGTATTTTCATGTGTTTATTGGCCATTTGCATATCTTCTTTGGAGAAATGTCTATCCAAATCCTTTGCGTTTTTTAAATGGTTTCATTTGTCTCTTTATTGAGTGGTAAGAGTTCACTATATATTCTGGATACAAGACCCGTATCATATATATAATTTGCAAACATTTTCTCCTATGCTGTGAGTTGTCTTTTCACTTTATTGACGGTATCATTTGAAGAATCTTGCTAATTTTAAAGCCAAATCGAGTAAGCTTCATGTTTTTTTGCTCTGAGAAGTGCTGAAGGAAAATACTTGTTATTTTTTATATTATCCATCAAATTCTGTTACTGATGTAATAGAGCCAACACTTAAGTTACTCAAGATATCCAAGCCACTGGTTTATTGAGTCCTTGCGAGTCTAGGATATTCTAGTATATTCAGCTTTGAGACAAAGATGCCAGAACAAAACTATCTATTTCAGAGTAGTTTGATTAACCAAAAATGACTTTCTGCTTCAATCACAATGGAAACCTATCTGTATATGTTTTTAGTTATGACTAGTAAATGAAGCAGATATTATGGTCCCTGTAATAAAGAGGCTGACTTCACTTTTTTAATCTTTGACTACTGATAGCTTTTGAGCCTCATCCCTCCTTCTCCCCTACCCCACATATGAATAAGTTGATAGCTTCCCCTTCTGCCCCATATCTGGGCAAGCTGCTCAAAAAACCAAGGTGCTCCCTCCTTAGGCACTGGTAGGAAATTCAAACCACCTGCAGGAACCCTCACCCTGGATCCATCTCCTAGCTACCATAAAACCCCAAGGACATCTCCTCCTATGCTCTCAAGCCATTTTCAGACCTGTCTGGGAGCCACTCTGGTCTGTCCAGAAAGCCTCATTATGTGAGTAAGAACTTTTCATACTGTCTTGGTGCGTATGTATGTGTGACATCATCAATATCAGCATCTGAACCAAATTTGGGGTGATACTGTGTTCTGTCTCTGAGGGGTGGCCACAGCATCCCCAAAAGAAAATATTTTTTTCTGTACAATGGAGCCATGGGTTTCTTGCAAAATGAAGAGAAGGGGAGGGGGAATTCATTGTGAAGCTTTTCATTTAATAGAGGTTTTCATCCAGGCTATCTTTGGAAACTTCAATGTTATATTTCAAAACTTTACTATATATATGTGTGTGTGTATATGTATATATAAAATGACATTAATGGATTTATGCAAATTATAAAAATTCCTACTATTCTTGGTATACCAGAAAAATCACATTACTTTAACAGGAGTCTCAAATGGAAAAGGAACAACTTTTGAGCCATTTCCTCTTGTTTCTTATCCACTTAAGATTTATATACCAAGGGATAACATTCACAGAAGTTTTTGTTCTTCAAACCAGACCAGTTTTGACTTAGAGGAAATTATCTGTTGTGAAAACTGAAGGATGATAGTGTGCCCCTCCTCTAAGAGCTTTTTTATACTTGTTCACTGACAGATGGATCATTAACTCTGGACCAGGATTTCTCACTAAGATGCTGCAGACAGCCTGAAGTCCTGTGTGGCTTGAATGTAGGTCACACCTTGGGATAAAATGGAAAGGTGCTGAAGGATATAGGGCCCTGAAAGCCTTGCTAGCGATTCTGGTGATATTATATAGATGAATCCCCACTGAAACTTCTTCTTGTAAAATTGAGGGCACAGCAGAGGGTCAATGGGTGCTAATAGTCCAGTTGTGCTGTAGGAAGATTACTTGCTTTACTTGATGACAGGAAAGATGAGAAATCTACACTGATTTTTATCCCCAGCCAGCAACATTTTAAGACAAGTAACATCTGGATCAGCCCTGATACTACATGGGCATGCCTGAATTATTTTTCCAGGGAAGGGGATGAAAGAGATGAGTAATGGAGTTTTGACTTTGAGTACACCCCAGGAATGATTTGGGAACTGACTCTGTCTTCCATAATTCCCACCCAAGGAGAGACCAGCAGCTTCTTGCTTTCACACAGACACCTACATCCCACACTCACCCTTCTCTTTAGCTGACGGAAAATTCCACAGCCATCAACTGATTAAGTGTGTGCTCCATAGGGCATTTGAGACACAGTATTTCCAAAAGGTCTGGTCCAATTGTACTGTGAAGATTCCCAACTCTGAAAGCAGTACCCACAGCTAGAATTCCAGGCTATGGGAGTTCTGTGGATTAAAAAACAAGTTATAAAGAACTTCAAAAATCACCTAAGTTGCAACTGTATGTTGCAAAAAGCCTACCTGCATTTTTTCACCCTTAATACACAAGTGTGGCTGGTTGTCCTTCATTTCAACTCCTAGATATATGAGAGATAAGATTCAGATTTGACCTTAATAGAAATTATACTAAGGATAGCTGCTAAAACTAAGGGTACATGACACCTTTTGAGTTTTTTCAGTTTAGGCCTTCCCCTTAATACATAAAAAGTTAGGAGAAAGAGGAAGTTCCATAGAAAGGCCAGTATTTGTACCCTGATCCTAATATCTGTATTCCCCAATTCTGGGCAGTTAAGGAAAGAGAGTAACAGCAAAGGAGGTAGAGGGTAGGAGAGGCAGAGGTGGTCCCAGATCCCAACCTATACTCTGAGATTCTATGCCACAAACCCCTAAACAGAACCTAGTTTTTGTTAAGTGCAAATCATCATGTCCAAAGCATTGGTCAGCAAACAAAAGCAAGTATGAGAGTAAACAGTCACCAAGGTGGGACAAATGAGACTATCCACGAAGCAGTATCTGTAGTTGGACCCCAGAAAGGCCCTCCTCTGAGATAAGGAATACAGGGAGAGGGAGCCACAGATGCCGTAAACTTGGTACTCCTGGATGGGGTAACTGGATGTTGAGGGCACAAAGGGACTAGGTCCTTTCAGAGCCATACTCCCTTGGCTTTGCTAAATGGGGGTGAGAACCAGGAATTTTCTTGGAGGTTAAAAAGCTTCAAGGTATCCTGATGAGACATCTTTTGTGAAAGGCTGAACACAAATTCTGGGACTCAGACCGAAATGAAAGCATCTGTATTCCTTTTCTCCTAAGTCTGTGTCTTCACCCTTTTCCCAGATCTGCCCAGATGTCAGCTTACCAGGACGGTAGCACAGTCCTGTCTTGTGTGCAGAGTGATTCTACTCCTTGAACATGCTGAAACTAAAGGGTCGGTCAGTGTAAACTTATTTTGTTTGTACCCCTCTACAGACTCAGAAAGTGCTCCTTATCATTCTTTTTTTTTTTTTTGTGCTTCATCCCTCTGACTAGACTTCAACTAAAAAACTAGGACAATGTTTTCACCAGTTTTAGCATGCAAGTTTATTAACATGTAAATGAAGTCTCAAATGAATACACCTATGTCAATATAAAGCACAGAAGTATAGCTTACTCAGGATGAATAAATTCATTATCAGGTCATGTTGCAGAAATACTAAAAATATCTCAATTTACACAGCACAATAAAAATCAACAAATATTCAAATTCTCAAGATCATTTGGTACCTGTAAAATTGGCTCCTTCAATCAACACAGAGCATAAATACTGAAATAATTATAATATGCATTGGTTTCATATTACCATACCAAAAAATTGTTCAAGGCTTTGTGAGAACATACAGCTATTCAGAGTTTGAGTATTAATCGTATAACTTTATCTCTCACCTCAGGATCACTGTGCTCTGCTAAGTCTTGTAGTTTCTGACCAAACTCTTTTGCTTCCTGGAATATGGAAATAAGTTCAGATTTAGTGAACTCTTCCTTGGTAAATAGCTTCACCTTCTTTTTGAACTGGAAATTTATATTCTCAAATATTTCAATGATATTAAGAATATTGGCCTTTGACTCATTTTTGTTAAAGGGTGCAACCAATGATGAAAGTACTTTGGCACTGATCAGTTCTCTTGTATTGGCTTGATTTTTAGACAAGCGTGAAAACACTTTTAAAACATAAAACTTGGTTTTGACACTTCCCTTGTTTAACAAGGTGAGGAAATCTGGAATGTAACTGACAATCGTATGGTGATCCTCAAATTTTACACTCAGTTGCACTAATAATTTTAGTCCAGCCAGTTGCAAAGGGGAGTTCAAGGGATAAGAGGTTATGTCCTTACAAACTTGATTTATGTACGATTCTCCTGTATTTGGTCCTGCAGAAGACTCAGAGTTGTCATCCACCATATTTGAAGCTCTGCGGTGTTCTTTAACATTGGGATTATTGACCAAGTTTTCAATCATAACAGTAATACCTACATCATGAATTATATCTTGAGTAAATGGATAAGCAGGACTGATGCCCATTATCATTGTAGCTATTTGATGAATAAAAGGATCCTTAGTTAACTTAAGTAGGGCAACGAGTTTATCAAACTCTTTAGGCTCTAAACTAAAAACACGTGATTTGCAGCGGCAGGCTTTTGGATTGGGCCCATACTTTTCCCTATACCTAACCTGTTTTTTGATCTCAGCTAAGGTCTGGAAGTAAGGGCCATTATAGGGTGGGATCTTGGTCAGAGGCCGAATCCCCAGAGGAGTTTCAATCAAAGTCTCAACCAGAGTCCAATTCCCCTCTGGAGGCAAGGATCCCTGCCCTCCCTCTACTGGGACTAGGACACAATACCTGGCCCTTGACCACGCTGCTGCTTTTTGCTTTATAGTGAGTTCAGGTTTGGGTTTGGGTGTGGGCTCGGGCTTTTCCTCGATCTTAGGTGGAGGCTCATAAACTTGGAAAGGGGTCTCTTCTTCAGGCCAGAACCAGGATCCTACGCTAGGCTCTTCTCCAGTCCAAAACCAAGAGCAGACATTTTCTTCATCCTCATCACTGGACTTGATTACAATACCAGCCCTGTCCCCAGCCCTCAACTTGATGCTGGCCTCTCTCCTCCTTTGGGATCTGGACCCAATATTGCCTTTATCATCAGCTTTGGCAAAGGACCTGATACTGGCTTCACTTCCAGCACCAGCCTTGACTTCATACTTAGTCCCAGCACTGACCCTGGATATAGGTACGGCCTTCGACTTGGTTTCGGACACTATACCAGGTTTGGCCACGGGTTTTGCCTTAGTCTCAGCCATGTCTCTAGTCTTAGTCATAGCTTCCATCTTGCTCGCTTCCCTTGTCATAGCCACGGCCTCAGTGTAGGTCACTGTCTGTGTCCTGGCCACTGCTCCATCCTCAGCCTTGACCTGGGTCACTGGTCTTGTTTTCAGTTCTGCCTCAGCCACTGCCTTGGCTTGGATCTTAGCCTTGGCTCTAGTGTGGACAGGGCCACTGATTCCAGCTTTCAGGCCAGCCCCAGCCCCTCCTCTGCCCCTGCCTTAGCCTCAAAGCCAATCATGATCCAAGTTAAAGGCAAGGTCAAGTTATGTAAACCCCCACCCGCGTCTCAGCCTTGACTGAAGGTCTGTCCCAGGTTGGTGTTTTCATACAAAGTCCAGTTGTCACTCAGACCCCTTTCCAACTATAGGCTCTGCCAGTGATATAAACAACGTGCAGAGGAAGCTCACTCAGGGAAGGAAAGGATGGCTGTGTGCCTGAGCGCAGCCCTGTGGAGGGTGGTGGTCTTCAGCCACTCCAAGGCCACCAGATCTGCCACTGAAGTTGGACCTAGGGGTGGAGGAAGGAAATGGGGCTTTGAGTCTTTTCCAATTTTTTTCTCATGTTGATTAGCACAGAGAGACAGGAAAGTATGGAAATTTAGTGCTAAGTGGAAAAGATAATTAGCAAACTTTCTCTCCCTTCATTTCATGCTCCTTACTACTGCAGGAGCAACTGATCTTTTTTTCCAGACACAGAACAGGAGTATAGGGAGTGGGAAAGCTGGACGGGAGTGAGAGAGACTGAAGAATCCCTAGACTGGCTCTTTACCCATACTGCACCCAAGCAGATCTCCACTACCTCATTCTACAGGTCTACTGAGGAAGTCTCCACACTCATAGCAACCTGCACTAATCTGGAGTGATTTTCTCCTCCTTTCCTTGCCTTCAATGATGACAAGCCCTACCACAGACCTAAAGGCAGATTTATGGACAAATAAACAAGCAGGAGGAGGGGGGAGGGTATAGCTTAGAGGTAGAGCATGTGCTTAGCATGCACTAGGTCCTGGGTTCAATCCCCAGTACCTCCATTAAAAATAATAGTAAATAGATAAATAGATAAACCTAATTATCTCCCCCCTTCAAAAAAAGAAGTTGAAGATAATTTTAAAAAACCAGGAGGATACAGAAATCAATCTCTTGGTAGAGTGACCTTGGTCCCTGGTCCCTATATTTGTTATCTGTCTAGTGTTTCCCTCCTCCTGGTCCTTTCTTCCTACTGCCCTGCTTCAGGACTCCTCCTCCTCCCTGTTTCCCACCATTTCCCTCTTCAGAGAGTGCCTTGGCATTTCCCTATTTCGGAACTGGGCTAGGGTGAAGCATAAGAACAGGAAAACCAAGTGGGAAGAAATAAAAGCATATATTATCCTTCTATGCCCCCAAAGCTTAAGAAGGCTCCCAATTAAATCACCAGGGGACCAAATGGGTTAGTAAAATGGCAAAACAGAAGAGACAGAATCCTCTAGTCTCAATCACTCTACCTTCACACCAATATAAACAGATACAAGACACATTTCTTTTCTTCATTATTTCCTAGCTTCAAGTTGGGTTACCATTTATAAACCTTCACAGCAACTGAGAGCTCCACAGACCTAAGGACAGATCTACACACAGAGATTCACAAATGCAGAGATAGATAAATAAATAGACTCAACAAGAGACAATGGAGACTGAGTCCTTCCTTGGTAGAGATCAGCACCTAGGACACTGATCCTTTCTGGATGCAGTTACACGATTGCCAAAATTTTTTAAATTTCTATCTCCCTTTCTTCCTCCCTTCCCCCAAATCTCCAAGCTCCTCTGCTCTATTCTCAAAGTCTGACGATTACCCTCCAGAGACAACTCAATCATCCCTGCAAGATAGTGGTGGTGTCAGTAGGGATGGAATGCCCAGACAAACCATGCAAGTTGGCTGGGAAATCAATGAAAAGCATTATTTCCCAATTTAATCTAAGTTCTTATGTTTTCTTCTACTCCTCAAAGCCTATCATCTTCTTCATCACAATGGGAGTAAGGTAGGACTGTTTGGAAAGCTGACAGAAAGGAGATCTGGAGTTTTCCCTAGACCCCCTACCTCCACTAGTCTTAGCCATCTACCACACAAGCACTGCCCACTCTACAGAAATTAGGCCAATTTTCTTTTATTTATCCCCTCCCTTTGAGGTTCCCTGCCCCTCACAGATCTTTACAGGAAGGTGTCATACCGCAAATGTAGGAACAGACCTACACATACAAACGCATGACACACACTCAAAGACCAAATATAAAGACAGTGGGAGAGACTTGGTCAGACTAGTAACCAGGACATGAGACCCTTTTCTAATCCAGGGCCTTCATTATCAAACACTTATAACTTCTTTTTACACTCTCCCTTCCAGGGCTTCCCAGATAACTGCTCTCACGACAGCAGCAGCCCCGCCTATTAATATAATCCGCCATTTCTCCGCTAGAAGCCGCTACTACACTCCTTTCCCTCGCCAAACATGGTCGGAGGTGGGGCGAGTGTCTGGAAATCAAGCTAGCAAGAGGAAGATCATTTAAAATTTATCGTTGTGTGCCACTCAAATGACCCCCGTCCCTCTCTCCCTTCTCACCGCCCGCGCCCCAACGACCAGGTCACATCGCCCACGTTCATCTCTGACACCCATAACCACACTCCCAAGCGATGCCCACCTTGTCACTGACCTGCTCTGCTTGGATCAGAGGAAAATCAGTTTTCTCATTTCCTTGCCTCGAGGGGTGTCGAGCCCTAAGAAAGAGGGACGGACAGTCAGACGGACACAAGGACAAGAGACAATGGCGGCGACTGTGTGTGGGGATTGGCCTGGCACCTGGTATTTAAGACGAGATACCTGTTTTATCAGATGAAGGGCAAACAATTGTCACTTTTTGGTATTTCCTTCTCCTTCTGGTCCCCAAGACGCCTCAGGGACCCGCTCCTAGTGACTCTTCAACAGCTACCTTTTCCTCCGCAGTCTCTTGTCTCGCCACGTCCCCAGAACCATAACCGACAGCAGGAGCAGCTAGAGAGGCGTTTAAGGGGATCCGGCCTCGCGGAAGCGGAGTGATACCAAGCTTTGCGTTACGCCGCTCCTTCCTCCAGCTGTGAGCTCCGTCCCGCCCACCCTCGGTTTCGGATACTGGACAGGGCAGGGGCGGGGTCTGGGTATGAGAAAGCAGCGCCGGACTGAAAGAAGCAAACTAAAGTTAAAGGGTCTCAGTATTAGTTCCCCTCTCTTAGGAGCTCCCTCCGCCAAACCTACAATCTTTTCCCCTGATCTGCAACGAATATGGTTTTCTGGAGGTGGCGACAGTGAATCAGCCTCGGTCTGATAAAGCGGACGGATACCAAAATGTGGTGTTACACACTGCCCTCTCCAAATCCCTAGGCCCACCGAAGTGGGTGGGTTGGGGGGAGGGAGCCGAGGTGAGAAGGTCGGGAAACAGGCTGAAGACAGAAAGGCTCAAAACTGAGAGAGGAGGATAAATTCTCATCTATTCCAAAAACTATGCGCCGCCTCTATGAGAAAAGCCCCTCCCAGCCGCCCCTCCCAAGTAATTTTCTGAACACATGGGCAGGGGTGGGGCGTCTGGAAAGCTGCTCTGGTCGGACTTGATCTGTATCAAACAGCTTAGTTTTTCCTTGTTCTTCTCTAAGTCTTTCTCCCTTACTGACTACCGTATTTCTCAAACAGAAATAATCGAAGGTGAGGTGGGATGAGAATATAGGGAGACTATAGCAGAGACAGACGGAGAGAAGCATCTTAATACCAAACTACCCTGATGTGTACGTGTGCCATTATGCCCTGCCTTGCCTCCTGACGCCCACGATATTTTTCTGCACTAAAGTATGCAGGGACTTGAGCTTGGGTATGCAGGAAAACAACTCTGTACTCATGGAAGAGGATTAATACTCGAATATCTTTGTACTCTGGCATCCTCACCCCATACTCCGCCGCTCACCGTGTGGTTTTCTTATTTCTCACCTAAAATGGAAGATGAAGTGGAAGAAAAATTTTAAAAAGCAGCACTAAAGTGGTAACGGATTAAATGCCAAACTGTCCCGTTGTGGGCCCCTTTTAGGCCTGACCCACCATTGCACAAGAAGTCAGGTGAGGTAAAGGAAATGTTAGGAAAGCAGGCTGGGAGGGGTGAGGCTATTTGAGGCCAGACCACTTTGGAGGTCCTGGGGTGGCCCTCCCCAGGTGTGCTTTTATTGTTGCTCGGACCGTGGACTGGAGGAAGGTGGGAGGGGGCGCCCACGGAGCCCCAGCCATTGTCCCTCTTCTAAGGGAAGGCAGTTGAGGAAACAAACCACTTGTCTGCACCAGCGTCGTCATTTTTTTCTGCCACACTGCTTCTCATTCGAAATGGTAACACACTTTGCCATTTTGTAGTCCCCACCATTGCCCAGGAAAGAGGGCCTTTGCCTGTCCAGACCCAAACCAGGTCATACAGTCCTCCCTGTGTGTCTCACACACACACAGCCCGGTGTCAGGCGCTAAATAGGGCCGGTTTTGGCGCCTCTTTTACTGTCCTCTCTAAGGAAAAGGGACGCTACCCGTGCACTTCTCAAGGCACATCCTAGCTGCTCTCCTGACTCCTCCTCTTCTCTCATCACTATATCCTGCCTCATGGATGCATATCCTCATTCTCCCTGAATACATAAAAAATTTGACTTTCCATTTCAAGTTGAAAGAGATGAGGGGCCATTGAGTCATGAGAATTCCATGGTGCCTTCTATTGTTTACGGATCAGTGACTATCTCTAGGTGTGTCTTCATCTATGATGTCTGTAACCCCAAGGCTTACCCTAGAGTCTGGCACACAGGAGATGGTCTCTACATAATTTTCAATGGAGGAAGGAACCAAGGGATTTTAAAAATAAATTTTGGAAAGAAACCTGGAGTATCTTAATATTGCATATTTTAATGAACTTTTGGGGAGATACATATAATTTGGATTTAATGGGAGTTTGTTTTTCTTTTTCTGTCTTCTTTTCATGCTTGAAACTATACCTTACTAAGTTCCTTAATATATAGCAAACCCCTATTAATTCATAAAGAAAAGACCAATGACCAACAATCCAATAGGAAAATGGGCAAATATATGAACAGATTGTTCATTAAAAAGACAAATCAATATTTCTTAAATATATGAGAAAATGTTTCATCTCACTGATTACAGAAGTACAAATTGTGATTACAATGATATATCATTTCTCATCAATCATATTGGCAAAGAACAAAAAGTTTCTTTATCATGATAGTTGAGCTAGAGGAGGGTAGAGAGGACAATAAGAGAGCAAGTGATAGTAAAATCTGTCAAGATCAATGGATTAGAGATTTTGGTGAGATTGAAAGAAAGTGGGGTTTGGGTACCAAAGGGGATGAGCTGAAAGAGGGGAGATGATGGTCATAGAAAGGGATGTTTGGAACTGAGATTATGGAGGAGTTGCTATAATTGCAATGGCAAATCCTAGGGTATGGTCATGCAAGTGGAGTGAGTAAGTAGCTGAGGTTGGGGTCAAGGACAATGTCATGGCAAAGAAATGTTCGAGGAACTGAAGGAGCCAGTGTGTTAGAATGCTCATTCTTGAACTCACCAGGAATTAATACAGGACTACTACCGTTGGGAGTGACCTAGTTCCAGGAGCTAAGATTTGTGAGGAATAAGTGACAACAGCGGGAGACTGAAATTTGGTAGATGACAACAACAATAAAGGCTAGTCAGTGACACTAGCTGTCAGAAGCTGGAGGTTTTCAGGGATGTTCTATAGGCAGCAGTGAAAAGCATGGAAAACATTTACTGGAACTTCAGGCTCTGTGGTACAATGGTTCATCTGCTCCTCTTGACTGGACTTCAGGGGACACAGAGTCTTCAGGGAGGAGCCTGGCTTCTGTTAGGGCAAGACAATGAAGGGCGCATTCAGAGAAGAGAGTGAAGATACAGAAGAATTATTGAGGTCAAGTTGCATTTTAGGAGTAGGGAAGGGGTGTGAGAAGTGAACTAAAGAGGGGATGTGTTCACAGCCTTGTGTATGTGTGTGACTTCCTGTCGACCCCAAGTGATGTGGAAATTCAGTCTCAGACCTGGAGCACTGGTCCACAAAATGCTCCATATTGCTCCTGGAAACAGATCACACCAATCTGTAATGATAGAAAAATGGGCTGAAAACTACATATCACATTCAGGACAGGAATAACTCTGGGGAAGTGGGAGGGGAATGGAAATGGAGTGAAGGTCAAGGAAATCTCAATTTTTCTGCAATGTTTTTATTCCTTAAAAAAATAGCAAAGTAAATATACCTAAATATTAACAACATCTAAATCTCAGTGGTGGAAACACTGGTGTTTGTTATATTTAATGCCTGGAATGTTGTAGGTACTCAGTGAATATTCTTTGTTGAACAAGTATGCCTTTCTGTTTCAAAAGTTCCTCCAGAAAACAAATACAACTCTGAAGTTAGCACGACATGCTACAAGAGCATAGAAGAGGGATTGGGGAGAGGTGGGAAGGCCTGAGAAATCCTTGAGAGAGTGATTGCTGATCTATGTGGATTTCTAGTGCCATACATGAGCCATATGGAAAATATGGGGTGCAGGCTAAAGGCATAGCCCTATCTCCATTTTATGTCAACGCTCCAAGGTTCTGGGTGAATATCCAGAAGATGACCTTGAAGATTTGTTCTTTCAGGTGGATTCTCACTGGATCCTCACTTTTCTCTCCCAACATAGACACTGGGTGGTGCTGCTGTCCAAAAATTCCACTGTATCATGGATTTATTACTTCAATCTAAAGATGGGCATTTATCTTAAGTGTCAACTGTAGGCCAAGCAAAGGGCTCAGGTTTGGAGATATAAAGATGAATAGCCTCTGCAGATTATCCTCTGATTACCTCAAACTGACTGTTATCATGTTCAGTGGCTGAAAAACTAGAAAATGTGACATTTACATAGGAGCGCACCACTGTCACAGAAATGCCCAGCTGTGGGGGTGAGTGACCCCGAACCACCCATCCTCTCTATGAGCACCCCTCCTCCACGACCTGGCCGAGGATTAGAACAGACAACACTGAGCACCAAATCACTGGTGGTCACCGCGTACTTAGGTTCCTTTGGCTATAAAGAGCCGAGACTATCTGATTACCGCGCCTTCAGCTTGGATCTCGGAGCTTCAGACGTTCAAAGGTAACTGGGCAAGATATGTCTGTTTATTTCAGAGTCCCCTATTATCGTGGAGGAGTGATATACTTGAGAGGAAGGGAAGTGGGCCCTCAGGGCGAAAGTAGTCACTGGGGAGGTAGGTCAGTGACTGATCCCCGGGCAAATCCGAGTGGGCTTGGATGGGGTCTGGGGAGGCGGATCTCGTATGATGTTATCAACACCCTGTTACAAGGGTGAGGTCCTGAGTATCCCGGAGAAGGTGGACTCAGGCTAGCAAGGCTAAAGCGGTGGGAGGGGCGAGGAGGCGGGTCTGGGATCCCTTGGCCAATCGGAGGCGACTCGGGCGGGGTCTTCCACGCAACTTAACTGCAGGGTTCCGCGCGGGAAGGCTAACCTCGCCCTGTGTGCGCAGCAGTCTCAGCGCAGCCGTTGGCCTGTCCCTGGTCTTCAAGCCTTCGGGTGAGGACGCGCGGCCCCGCCGGAGCCAGAGGACTATGGGGACAGGCGGGCCCAGTGGCCGCGGGGCTGGGGTGTCGGGCCTTCTGGAATTGGGGGGGCGGGGTTGGGACTGGCGATTGGAATCTGCACTCCTGGCGAGTCCGCGTCTTTGTCTTCGCAGCGCCGCCTTCTGCGCGCGATGCGCAGTCCTCCCGGGTGGGTGCCTGGAAGGTCCGAGTTGGGAGCCCCCAGAGCGACGGGTCCGTTGTGGCTGCAGGTCCGAGGCTGCGAAGACGAGGAGTTTGGGGCCGCCCGGAACGGGCCCTCTGGGGCTGGCCCTCCTCCCCCTCCCCTACTGTAGCTGTTAGGCTGGGCGCCCGACAATGATGATAGTTGTTTAAAAATGTAAGCAAATTGCTGCTAACAAAGTGGTTGATGCGCCCATCTCTTTTATTATTTA